GAACCGATTATGACGCGGTTTTCAAAAAAGTGTTTGGATTTTGATGCCGTTTTCAGAATTGTTTTAGGAGAAGGTTTTAGTAGGTAGGTAATACTAACCGACTGCAAAAAAGAGGACTTTGAAGACTGTTTTTTAAACGTAGTTTATAAAAGAATTAAAATATTTAGGTTATAATCTTGATTTTTACATCTCAATACAGAGCGCCCCTTACCTCTCTCTCCCGCCTCAATATTACGAAGTACCACCATAAAAAATCAAAACAGAAACATTTTAAATATTCACAAAGCGTATATCGTATTGTATTGACCAACAAAATGATATCAAGTAAAGAAAACAAAAGCACTCTAGTCATAGAAACCTTTTATGTGTGAACCTCAAATAGACGTCCCGCTTTTCTATCAACTATTGCTATATTTTTATCAGATTGCGGTGAGCACAATCCCGTCACATTTTATTGAAACACGCCCGACTATCCGGTACTTAGAAATCATACGTTGATGTCCTTTTGTTATGATGTATGTACGTTCGTAGATAGAGATTGGTGGGTACTTTTGATGTCATGTAGGTTTATTATGTCGTGTATGAAAGATCTTGTTTAATGGAATATGTTTCGTTCATTGATTGAGAAGAAAACTTTGTTAAATTGTATTGACAAGTTTAGCAAATAATGTTTGATAATATAAATAACAATATTAAATGGATGCACTCGCCGTTATTTTACACTGTTTTTGTATGGGATAAGCCGGTAAACGAGCTGACGGATCACCTGATGGTTGAGGATTGTTGGGGATTCAGGGATTGGGAAGATCGGTGAACTGGGGAGGGGTAATTGGGTAACCTCACTCACACGACCAAACACAACGCAAGCGTTGCTTCACGTCGGTGGTTTTCCCATTCGTGCTGAAGCATGGCTCTCCCATACTTGACCTCACGATGCACGATTAACGTTTGGCGTAGTTAGTGCTTAATATAATGAAGAAGAAGAAGAATCTCTTTATAATATTTCTGCGGCGTAGTGGCAGAGCGACCAGCTGGTGCGCAACGCGTTGCAGACTCGATTCTCTCACCGAACTAGATGCCTTATTCTTTGAATCACCGACAAGTTGTTGTCCAAGTTTGGACACATATGCATGAGACATTACCTACATACATATGTGCTTGTAAACGCAACCGGAACGACACAAGACAAAATCAGAGTGATACAATTTTTATCTACCTAGTATTTTTTAGAGTTATACTATTTCTTATTCTACATACATAATCCATTGTTCGCCTTCGGCTATCACTGCATAGGTATGTTCCTCAAGCACTCAGCAAAACAATGGGTGGTAAAAAATAAAATTTATGACGCCCTCAAACTTTTATCGCCCGAGTTAAGATGACGATCGGGGTTAATTTAACGATCACTCAGTTCCAAGTGAAATAATTTTCCAATGAAAACTGAAGGTCGTAAATCCTGGTACCGTAAGTATCTACTGATCTGAGAACAAACGGAAAGTAGGTAGGTAAGTTATATTATCAAATGTTCTAAATGCTAAGAGTTTATGTAAAGTAGACCCTTTTTTTAGGGGGAAAATCATTCAATGACTTCTCCCGCCTGGGTGAGGCGGGAGGGAGTGTCAGACTCTTACTGACTAAAAACCACCCCGTTCCTACACCTGCACTTCGAACCGGAGCCCCGGCAACCCGTTAAGTCTTCTGCGGCTCCGTATCGGCATCAGCCTTGTTAGGCCCCATCTGTGGTGGTCTGATGGCTCCTTGAGGCGCGCGCGGAACGCGACGCGCCGTACATGTAAACTAGACCCTAGATTGTCAACAGTGGTTAATCTTAATAATGATTTATTTGATGATGAAGCCATGTCCTGTAGGTCCAATAGAGTAGATACCTAACTACATTGTAGGTACTCAAGATATAGACCTACAAAGGTGACCTACATAGGTCCATATTACCTAGATACTACCAGGCTCCACTTACACACAACGAATCAGTTTTCTTCATAAAATAAAATAAGACTAGAAGTACCTCCTTACAATCTTGTTTATTGAAACTTATGAAACTGGAAATACTTCACAACACGATGTGAGCTCGTTAGTGTCAATAGGAAACGTAAGATGTAAGTACAAACTCAGGTACCTACATAGATAATTAAATAACTGATGTATGTGGATAGCTATAGGTACGAAAGTTGCTTGTTAGTTGAATGATTAAAAGTGCGACTGCTGAGCAGAAGTCTTGGTTTTCTATTTTGTAGGTACGTACATATTCTAAGTTACCTAAATGGGTAAATCCTGTATCCTACCTATCACATCTTAAACTGTCAAACACCGCAAGGACACTGGTAACCGCAACCTATGTTCTTTAATTGTGTCTATAATGACGGTACTCAAAGGGTTAATTAGATACAAAGTGCATGCATTAAGTACTCAAAATACTCATCATTTTAATGTAGCACGACTTAGCAACCTGGCATTTCCTAATTAGACTTCTAAAGCCAACGTAAATGTCTAACACAGAAGATAAATGATAGGAAGGTGTAATTTAACAAGGCGTCTATAATTAAAAGAGTGCTAGCACCGACTAGAAGTGACAAGCCACTCATCCGCATGCTTATTTAGCTTGGCTTTGAGCAATTCTTAATCGAATGTCAGAAGCGGTAAGCGCGCGCTCGGCACTCAACGCATCATAGGTAGTGTTCGTAATTACTTTTTAATCCATGATGCCAGTTATATTTACAGCTCTTTTCTTTTTTAAGTTTTCTATGAATAGTTAGGTCTTTTTTATTCCTAAGTGAAGCTGGTGGTTGGTGTTAGTATTAGTATAGTGCAGAGTGTAATTTATTGAGATTTTTTTGTATTAGCAACATTAACCAGTGTAGGTGGATTAAATTTTGCGGTGAAAGATCCACCTTATGCACTTATTTAAATTAAGTCAGTACCTATAATAACTAGATTAGATAAAATAGATAGTATAAAATAATAGATTAGATATAATAATTAGATAAAATAGAGTCCTATGCAGGAAAAAATACCTATACTAGGTAGTTACTAGAATAGTCAATAGGACCCATCTACTTACACAATTTGTGTAAGTAGTCGTTCCTTGTTATTCACTTTAACAGCCCGCAAAATTCCTCACTAACCCTCGAGGCTTCGATAGAATCAATCAGCGCATCATTATTTTCAAGGCAACACCGCTGTGGTCGTCTCCGGAACTCCCTAGTGGTTGGGCGACCTAATTCTTCCACGTAGGTACTAATAACATCAATGCTCTGGCGTTATTATCTTAACTCCCGGAACGGATGACCTGACACTATTGGAAAGCCAGTCTGTTGTACACGCTATGTGAGAAAGGCTTATCATTCTAGTATTATTATTATTTATTTTGGATTCAAGTTGTCATTCAACACTCATATCCGCTGCATTCGTGTTTGTTTCGATTTCGAAATTTCTGTAGATAATTCATCATTGAAGTTATTTGCAACTGGCCAACCAAACTAAAGTATAACTTTTGCGTTTTTAGACATATTGATATGGTTTGTGACTAAAGCACATAAAGGTGCGTAATATCTATTTATTTTTAGTTTTAATTCATAGTTTTACACTTTTATTCTGAAATTATGTGATGTCGCTGCCTTGTTGGCAGTGTTCGCAAGTGCGAATGACGGGCAAGGGGTCCCGGGTTTGATTCCCGGGTCAGGTAAAGTATTACTGAGTTTAAAAAAAACTGTTATAGCACGGAGTATGAAATTGTGTACGGTAAATGGCAATAGGCTCACCCCCTATTAGTCAAAATTACATTGTACAGTGGCATTATGTGCCGTAATGAGCACCTCTGCCTAACCCTTCGGGGATAAAAGGCGTCATATTATGTCTCGAGTCTTGCAGGTTGGAAGTGCTTAGGGATAGAAATTAAAACTACCATTTTCTATTTCCAGCACGGAATAGCTTTATATTATTATTGCGTAATAACAAAATCTTTGTAGTCTTATTTATTACATTAGTCAAATGAAATACCTACCTTACAACGTGAGGATTCAATAAAAACAACACGTACAACTACAGAATCTTTAATTATATCCAACAAGTACTCTTAAGCGAATCTTTTAAATCAATCTTAACTAAACATAATCGCTAAAACTCGAACCTTTCTCATTTGTATGTCAGATACAAAAATATTTATATCTTATATCAACAGAAAATCCACTCATACCATGTGATACACTAAACTTATTGAATTAAAACAACGCACTCATAATTTCAGCGTCCATCGTCCGGGATACTTCGACTAGTATCTAGTATATAAAATATATTCACAAGCCAGGGGCGCCGGCTTTCAATATGAAGCCACGATGTACAGATCACTGTCTGGTTACAAGTCTGTAACAAAATGGTGAGCTTCAGTAAACGGGAACGCCTCCACACTTTATTATTGGCATGCAGTCTCTGTTTTTGTACAAACCAAACTCAATTTCACTTTTTACAAACACAAAATTCAATTCTCATTAACATTTTTACCTTAAACTATAGTTAAAAGAAGCTTAGTCTATTACCACCTCATAGTAAAGTTCACATATTTTTCTTAAAAGTATTGCTTTGAAAGCTTATCACTTAGTGTATCGCACTTTGTTCAAATAGTGCCAAATCTCGAAAAAGCTGCTTAAACATTATTCTAACTGTATATTTAGTATTAGTTTCCTCGTGTTATTAAAAACACATAATTATTCTCTATTAACTTGAAATTTTGTGTAATAAACCTGTAAAGCAATGGAAACTATCTCTAGTTTCACATGCATATTTTTTTTTTTAATAAATGTTGCCCCACTCTAGGATTTTCTCCTGTGTCGTGGGTGCGTTTACAAACATACAAATTCACATTCACATGACACCCATTGTTTGAGTTATGACACTATTCGAGCGAAGATGCGATATTTAAAATGCAAAAATACATAACACGACACAAACAAAAAAGATTCAGCTAATACTACTCACAAAATCTACTTTTAAGTATCGCTCTTCCAAAGCTTGATAGTCTTGTCGTTCTCGAGGGCTGCCGACGCAATGATGTTCTCGGTGGGGTGACACGCCGTACAGAGCACAGTGTCCGTGTGCCCCGACAGCCGCTGCACGATCTCTTTTGATTGCAAGTTCCAGATGTACACCAAGTTGTCTTCCGAGCCTGATACTATCCACTGTGGACAATAGGTGATGTTTAATATGCTGTAAGAGTACATGCACTATGCACTAAGGAATATCTCAGATAATTTTATTGAAAAACTAACATTTTAACCACCAGTAGTACTATAAGCAAGAGATACCATTTCACAATATGAAGAGCTTTTTATTCGGCTTAAGAGTGTGAAAAAAATAATTTTTTAAAAGTCGATTACAAGTTCACGCATTCTAGGATAAAGATACAAACTAAAAACATTATCACTGGCATTAATGTTTGGTTTATCCTACTTATGCTGACCTACGGTTACACAAACTCACGATAAAATCACCGAATGACGTCATAGGAAGGATCACCTTGCAATCTACGTAAACGACACCTACATTATGCTTGCGTAGGAGTTCCACTACACAGCGTGGCTGGTGGCTATATCTATGTAAAAAACGCTATAAGTCTTGGTCAGACATCCATGTGTAACTACATAATAACATGAAAACTTTGCCATAAGAACCTACATGAAAGACGTAACGACCGATGAATGCGTTTTTGTTTTCTTAAAAACAACATCAATTTATGGAGTAAGAAGTTTTGTAGCCTGTACTATTTTATATGTAAAGGATTTACATTTTTGCCATACACATACATACAAAGTAGTTCGTGGGAATTCAACATTTTACCTTGACATACTTGCAATCTCTTATCAACGACGTCAGATTGTAGTTGTAAAAATCTGTGAGAGCACAACTGACTGATAAGGAGTATATCGCTCGAAATAATGGCTATCGAACGATGGAATGAGCGTCAGAGTCTAATCTAAATGTGGAAGGATAGTAGAAATAGTGAGTAAAAATATTTGGTGACATGCAGCTGAGCTTTGTAAAACCCCCCACTAAGAAAGGCCAAAAATAGCTGAATCTATGCAGTGTACGGCAGTCTACTCTATAGATACTGATAGTAAGCGACCAATACATTTTCGATAAGTAATACTTTTGTGTCATATCTAATATTGTTGATAAAAGGTATTATTGAGCAGTTTTACATCTTCTATTTTATTTATAAACATGTAGTTATTTTTACAAAATTATCAATGCATGTCAATTTTATAATATATGACTCAAAATAATGCAGAACAAATGCTATACTTCGACTGCTCACTACTTGGCATTCCAGAGGGCCAAAAATTATGCGTATATATCTTATTTATTTGTGCTAATTACGTTTTTTGTAGAGCTATGTTTAGTAATATGACAGATATGTTTAGTAATTAGAGTGATTCTTACCTTTCCTCCAGTGACACTGAAGTTGGCAAAAATGCAATATTTTTCGTTTTTATGTCCTGTGTAAGTCTTGAGGCACTTGCCCCGGCTGTAGTCCCATAGTTTGAGTGTGTTGTCAAGTGTCGCCGCCAGAATATATTTGCCATTTGGAGAGAACTTCACAAACGAAACCGGCGGATTGTCGTCGTCTATCAACGTCTTTAGACATTGACCTGATGCTGTATCCCAGATTCGACTAAACGGAAAAGCAAAATGATTGTTTAACATTATATAACGTCACATTTTTTTTGCACACCTTGAAATAAGGATGTCTTAGAATAAATTAAATAGAATAAAACACGTACCATAATCCATCATAACTGGACGATACGATAAGGCTGCCATCTCTGTTAAAATGCACTGCTGATACTGGATCTGAATGCGCTGGTAGTGTTTTTAAACATTTGCCTGGAAAGAAAAATATTTAATACATTAATTACGTCGATTTACAATACAAATGTGGGTCAAAGAATTTATAACATATTTTTTAATAACTATGTATCTACTAATAATGTTGAATAGCTTCTGTAACACTAATCTCTGTCTGAGACTGTTTAGCATTTAACAACCCAATTTTAAGGAAGATAAGATCATTATTCCTTTGTGCATACTGCTGCATTAGAGTAAAATCGCGGGTAAGAACTAGATAAGTATACAACACAACAAAGTCACATAGACCTTTCAGTTTGGTCTGTACCTCCAATGAGCAGATGATTGAGACGAAATACCGATCCGACTAGGATGTTAATAGTATAAATAGTACAGTAACCTACTTCTATAGGAGTAGCTGCTTGACATTTACAATAGTTTCTATTTGTACCTATCTAAAATTAGACGTAATTACAGTTTGTATGGAAAACTGTTGAAAGTAGTCGTAAGAGGTGAAAATGTTTAACACTGTGATGTTAATAAGGTTTAAAGTTGTGTAATGTAAACTATGTAAGTATATTTGGAGAACAGCGATCGTGACTGGCCTCACGACTACATTTTCGACTCATTGTTTAGCATAGTAAAGATGCATATTGTAATGCAGCTGTTGTGTTATAAATGTAGATCGTTGACCGCGTTTTGTTTGCTAATTGAGTAATCATTATTTATGTGTGTAAATAGTCACAAAATATCAATGAATGACTAATAAAAAAGTGGAATTCAACCACAAAGGTAGAATTATAAGGTTTGAAACTACAACTAATTTTTAGAACAATGCATACGGCAATAGGTTTCAGTTTTACTATGTAACGGTAGTTATTGCCGCCAAATAACAACTGGTGCAATTATTGTGGACTACAACTCGCCTTATCGTTTCTGAGAAGTAAAACATGAATGAATGTACTGTATATTTTCGTACTAAGTAAGGACAACTTTTTTACCTTCCTATTTTTGTTCGCGCGATAATTCCTTGATAAACTAACAAGGAGAAAAAGCGGGTTTCGTAACAGAACTCACATTTATCAAGTCCCACCTTTTTATTGTTTTATATGGCTTAATTTTAAAACGTTTGCCTTAACTTTTTTAAACTCAGTTCGTATAAATTAACCTTTTCTATGTAACATGTACAATAATATCGGAAATGCCATCGTAGCCGTTAATAGCAAACAATTTATTTTTGTATATTCGTTTACAACATAATAATTTATAGTTTAAATTGCAATTTCAAAACGGGCGCCATTTGTTCCTTAACGCTCGCGGCATTAGCCCGTGTCGAATCCGGTTATGGTCTTTATCATTCAGGTTCTGCACTTTTTGATATTTCTTTTTTTTAAACCCTATTTAACGTTTGTAGTAGGTTTTATACTATAGACAGCGTACGTATATACTTCGTTTCAGCGCATTTATACACCACTTTTGGCCATTAGATGAAATTTAGTGTGTAAAGAGTGTGAAAGTTTATGTAAGGTATAAATAAAATAAGTTTATTACCTGTTCTCACATCCCATATCCGTACACTCTCATCAAAACTTCCCGATACGATAAGATTGCTTTGTGGATTAAAATTACAGCAAAATACGTAGTTGCTGTGTCCCTTTAGTGTCTTCAAACATTTGCCTGAACTCAGTTCCCATACCTGTAACATAAAAATAGGTCGTAAAGCTTTTGTGGGGAGCTGATCTATTTTGAGATATTATGGTGCAATACGGGTGTAATGAGGTAGGATTACAAGAAGTCCGTTTTCGACACAAAGACATTTGATTTTTTTATAATAATACTGACTGCCTCGTTGGCCAAGTGGTCGCAAGTGCGACTGCTGGCCAAAAGGGTCTCGGGTTCGATTCCCTGGTCGGGCAAAGTATTATGGGGTTTATAAAAAAAATTAATCGTAGCACGGAGTCTGGAATTGTGTCCAGTATATGGCAATAGGCTCACCCGCTATTAGATGGGACTCATAACATAAAATGAAAGTGTATAGTGGCATTAAGTGCCGTTATGTGCACCTCTGTCTAACCCTTCGGGGATGAAACGTGTGATGTTATGTTTAATAGAATGCTAGAATACTAGAATATAAATTGATAATTTTTATTTGCGAAAAATCCTTCTATAATGCAGTTTAAGTAAACATAACAAACACTATTTGTTTGATAACTTTTGACATCAAATAAATACAATAACTTGATTAGATAAATCATAGTTTTTGCATCTAGATATGGGGGTCAAAGGACAAATATGCAATGTGCATAACAATTATGTTTCATATTGGTGACAAACATTACTTAACACTTTGATAACATTATGTAAGAAATATAATGAAATGATCTCATAATCACACTTCATTCATTACATTTTGTGAATTGATTAATTGAGGAAAACATATTATGCACACATTACACAATGTACAAAGATATTTGGCCACACCTTACACTAACAGTTACTAACAAAAACCACACTGAGGACAAGTAATCAAGATTATTTCAGTTTTTTATTTTCATGTGTGATGAAAATGAGAAATTCATTAAAACTATAATCAAACTTAAGAGAGTCATTAAGAAAAATGCATACATTTTTAAAGCCCTAATGTTCTTTATCTATAAAATGCTGAGGACATAAACACACACTGTTATCTATTAAGATATGAGTTCACTAACCCAAAGAGTTTGTAATCTAGTTTCCCAGACTGTTTTAACAAAGGGAACTTGGAAATTTAGAATTTGGAGCAAGTGGTAATAATGGTCATCAATCATGATAAGTGAGGTGACACATATATTATGTAGATGGAATATCTAAATATTTTGTTACTATGGAAGTTTACTTTTTTTACATTTCAACAAGTTATATGGACATTTATGGTCATAATATACTTTATAACTATTGAGTATTGATAGGGTATTATTGTGAAGCTGTATGTATTAAGTAGTTATACCAATGCCTTCAAAAACTATGCATGTTTATTGTTATAAATTATCATAATTCAAAATCAATAAAATTTTAATACCTACTCTTCATTGTAGTAAACATCTATTATTTATTAATGATAAATAAAATATAATTACTATGTCCGTATAGCGACAACTAACCGTCGCATGTAACCTTTTTCGTATAAATTCCGTTCGTGAGTACGGCGACACGGAATTCGCGTGTGTAAAAAGGTCCTCACGCAATTCCTTACTCCCCACCCCCTCCTCCCACTTCGCCCTACACCGATCATTCACCGCGCACGCGCGACCCCCATTAACGTTCGCTATTCGAATTTGGCGCGCATCGACGCTCTATGGTTTTGGGTACTTTTATGAGGAAGTTATTCAGTTTTGAGGTCAAATGTAAAATAAGGTTTTATGTACATTGACCATGGAACTTGTATGATAAAATAAGACATTTACTACCTAGGAATGCTATTTATATCTGCTTGTATAGGTGGATTATATTATGTTGATGTGCGAGTATGATAAAATCAAATATTACCTTTAAGGTTTTGTCATCACTGGCACTGACTATCAACCTGCTGTCTGAGGACCAAGCCACATCACTAATACCCATTTTGTGTCCTGATATTGTTTTCTCAAATTTGCCATCGTAAGCACCCCATACTTTGATAAGTTTGTCAGCAGCTGTAAAGTAAAAAGAAAATGTTATCTCTCACGAATCATTAGTGATATTATATTTATTATAGTTCTTATTGAAATAGTAATAAGAATGACATCATTATTTAGTGTGGATTAAATAATCAACCACATAAAATGCTGAATTGCTTGCCTAGCAACAGCTGGTTTAAATTGCAAATTGAAGTGAAGGTCAAAAAACTTGAATGTGCCGTTAAAATAAAAAATTAGATTTTCAGATTGTGCATTATTCTATTGACCATTTAAAGTTTCAGCAATTGGTTATTTGAGGGGTAACTGTTGTTTTACCATTGTATACATGATATATATTTTTTTTTGTTCTTATTTTAAAAGCATTTTTACTTGTAACAAGTGTAGGAACATTAGGAAAGATCAAAATTCCTTCTTTAAAAGTTCTGTTCAACAGCTTGAGTTCTACATAATATGACGTTCAAAGCATTACATCACTATTTTAAAGAAACAAAAAACAATGATGTAAACTTTTCTTACAATACTTCCACCTATTGGCAGTGGGCATTCAAGGCCACCTTTATACCAAACTGTTGCCCAAACCTAAAGCTAATGGTCTTAAAAACATTCAAATAATTTAAATAGGCCATTGATCATGATAAATTGATCCTTAAAAAATTGGTGTAATAAGGTTTTTTAACTAATTACAAGGTAATCAATCTAGTACATGTTAAACAAAAACCACTATAAAAATACTATAAAAAATGCTAACTTCATTTGTTTATGAAAATGAGCAACTTTTCACAATAAATAGTAATGTTAAAAGGGAGACAAAAGATTAACTAACATTTAAGAAAGGTATTCTTGAAAATAAACACTACTTCATTAATAGTTTTAAAGTTAACAGTGCCTATCAATTCCAATTTCTACTTGCTTTATTCTTCAACAATCATGGAGGTAAATGTTGATCTTTAATAATTGGTATATGATAAACATTCCTAAAGGTATCATATTTTTGCTAGGATAAAAAAACAAACAATCCAAACATAAATGGGTATTCGAAGGTAAATAAATAACTGACATGACATGAGCCATTAATTATTGCATTATGTATAATACTCACAGGAACTTGCCAACCATTCTCCATTTGGACTGAATTTAACTGAAGACACAGCTTTTGTATGACCCGCGAGTGTGAATTTGAGCGTGTAGTTCGGCTTCTGTAAACCGACATCAAAATTAGCGCCAAATCGCACGTGCTCACACAAGTTGAAGTTACATAAACATGTGCCGCCCGCCAGACTGACGCAAACCAATGAAATGCAGTGAGACAACGCTACTTACCGCCACTGAAGACTTGTTTGATTGTGGTGCAGATTGTGATAACGAATTTGGCCCGGAAAGATTGGCCGAAGGTCCACCGTGTGTTTGGTGTGCAGCAGGATGGCCTGGGCCGGGACCTAGCGGCACCATGTTTCAACTTTCGAGTTTGACGCACTACGCTTTACTTTGTTCGTCACCCAACACAGTCACTATCACACAATGAAACACAATCTAAATTAAACTTAGAAATAGGCAACACACGGAACTTGTCACTCACTTCAGTTTTCATTTTTCTTACTTGTTACATATATTTCAACGTAGATTTTCAAAGAACATTCTAAATCCGGGCGTCCCAATGCGTGCATATTTCGCGAAGACGAACAGTGGTGCCAACCTACTTTTAAAACTATAAATTCCCTCCCCGCAGCAATCTAGCTGGCCAACTCATTGTCTTTGGTTAGATTATTATTGAAAATATTAAAAAAATACAGAAAATTATAATCAATCATACATTTTATACAAAATTTGAATAAGTGCTGCAATAATAATAAAACAATAATTTATTAATTTTTATTAGTGATAGTGATGTTATAGGTTGTAATTGCCAAGCGTAAAAAATAGATTTTAACGTTGGCACACTTGGCACGTTGGAAATGACCTCTTTGACATTCCCAAGGTTACATTTGACAATTAGAATTCGCCGCTGGTCGAGTAATAAATTTGCTAAAAAGTTTAAAAACTTACCAGAATGGCTCTAAATAAACTCAGTATTGATGCCCTGAACTTGGCTGGCAAGCGCGTGTTGATGCGGTAAGTTTTTCTAGTCTAACATTACAAAAACGAATTTTACAACCGGGCACAATTACTAGGAAAATAAAAATAATTGACTAATTTGCAGAGTGGATTTCAACGTCCCCTTGAAGGATGGAGTCATTACCAATAATCAGCGCATCGTCGCAGCATTGGATTCTGTTAAATATGCGTTGGACAAGGGTGCAAAATCGGTTGTCCTTATGTCACATCTGGGCAGGCCCGATGGTCAGGCAAACCTTAAGTACACCCTAAAGCCGGTCGCTGAGGAGCTCAAGAAACTGTTGAACAAGTAAGATATTACGTGTGTATTTCTATGCATGAGCTTAATGACTGTCCGACTATATTTAGGTGTATACACAAGTCAAGGTGACCAGATAAAACAACTGTTATGTTTTAATTGTTATCACAATAAATCGAAACAGTACATAGTATAGTACTATACTTAATTATTCCAAGAGTTGTCACAACTGACTCACTATGTAGGTTTTTTTTTTCAAAGGTATTAAATTATTTTTTAACAAAGTAGCTGAATGCCTTAATATTTCTACTTTCAGAGATGTGACGTTCCTTCCCGACTGTGTGGGTGCTGAAGTAGAAGCCGCCTGTGCTGACCCAACTCCTGGATCTGTTATCTTGCTGGAGAACCTCCGTTTCCACATCGAAGAGGAGGGCAAGGGTATTGACGCGTCTGGTGCGAAGGCTAAAGCTGACCCCGAGAAGGTCAAGGCGTTCAGAGCAAGCCTGAGGAAGCTGGGTGATGTTTACATCAATGATGCCTTTGGTAAGTTATGTTCTATGATAAACTTGAAAATAATAATAAAGTTGTCATAGAAAGTTTAATGATTTAGTTTAGTAACTTTTATGTGGTCTGAATTATTATTTTTATTTATTAAATAATTATTTACAATTAAATGTTAAATGTTATTAAATTATAATAACACTTTTAATAAATGTTGATATGGTACTTAATTTTGATCATGTAGAAAAGTATTACTTGACAAATCAAAATAATATTTGAATTTGAATAGTTAAAAATATATTTTTAACTATTAAATATAAAAATAATGTGATATACACATCCAATTGTGGTCTGGCATTAGTTCATAGAGTGGACGAAGTATATGACAATCCTCAGCCACAGTTAAATTTTTTTTTTTCTGACAGGTACCGCTCACAGGGCCCACAGCTCTATGATGGGAGAAGGTTTTGAACAAAGAGCCAGTGGCTTCTTACTAAAGAAAGAACTGCAATACTTTGCTAAAGCTCTGCACGAACCAGAAAGGTGAGGTATTTATAATGCAATATGACTTATGATTAGTTTTGCGTTAAGCTTACTATGTTTTTTTTTAACAATAAAGTTGCATCACTTTCGCGTCTAATTTAGTAATGTTTTAATTTACAGGCCATTCCTTGCTATTCTGGGAGGTGCTAAAGTAGCTGACAAGATTCAGTTGATTGAGAATTTGTTAGACAAAGTCAATGAGATGATCATTGGTGGTGGCATGGCTTACACCTTCCTGAAGGAAACTCAGGGTATGGCCGTAAGTATGTTTTAATATTTACATAACTTCATAACATATGCTTACTTTTAATAGTCAAATGTTAGTAGGTCTAATATATCATTATTGTATTGTTCTTGCTTTTCATGTAACAATCAAGTGCTCTAACTCTGACGTCCATGGATAGTATATCCATAAAAAAGTAGCGTCATACGCCCACGGACACTGTAGTATCCAAAGAGACGAGTTGTGTTTAACTCCATCTAGTTCAAATACGGTATTATTTGGGGAGATTTGACAGATTATCTATACAGTTGACGAAATAGTTCGTTCGTAGATTTTGTTTTTCGTATTTTTTTTTCTTTATTCTGGCCATTACGGTTCTACGCCGAAGTTAGAACGTTGCGCGCGGTTCAGGTGCCGCGTGCGGCTGGACGTTAGAGAGACAAACGGTAGCGCGGACCGGACGTTAGAGTGGCTAAAAAATTAACTAATTTAGTTACTTTTTTAGCCACTCTCTCAGACAATTTTATTTCTAGATTGGCAACTCCTTGTATGATGCGGAGGGTGCTAAAATTGTCGGAAAGTTATTGGAAAAGGCTGCCAAGAACAATGTGAAAGTTCACTTACCTGTTGACTTTGTCACTGGTGACAAGTTCGATGAGAATGCACAGGTAAGTCTAAGTAGATCTTATTTGTTTGTTACTGAATAGCTGCTAAAAATGGACTAAACATATGCTTTTAGTGGTCTTACTGTCCCAGACACATGTGAAAATTATAAACCCTTTGAACCTTCCTGTCAAGGGAGGTTGTTGTTGTTCACCAGTGAATGTATTCTATCTATCTGATATTTTATTTGTTTAGGTTGGTGCTGCCGATATTGCAAGTGGTATCCCCGACGGTTGGCTCGGTCTCGACGTTGGTCCCAAATCTCAAGCACTTTTCGCTGAACCCATTGCGAGAGCGAAAGTTATCGTATGGAACGGGTATGTATTCAAGTTATTTTCGACTGCAAAATGGACTTTATTGTGTGGGTTTTATGTTTAATTTTTGTTTAATAGACCTGCTGGAGTGTTCGAATTTGAGAAGTTCGCTGGAGGCACCAGGGCTCTTATGGATGGTGTTGTGAAAGCGACTGCAAATGGAACCATCACCATTATTGGTAAGCTTTTATATGAATGTTTCTTCAGCTTTTTTATGAAATAACAATGATATTTTCGCCCCCTTTTTTTTTGTATCGGATAAAAGCAAGTCTTAACTTTAATTTGACTACACGGTTGGCGCGGTGACTGGGCAATTGACTGCCGCGCAACGTGTCGAGGGTTCGATTCCCGCACGGAGCAACTCTTTGTGTGATCCACAGATTGTTGTTCCGGGTCTGGGCGTTAAGTGTATGTGAATTTGTATGTTTGTAACCGCACCCACGACACAGGAGAAATTCCTAGTGTGGGACAACGTTTTTGTTAAGAAAAAAAAATATGCGCCTACGTAACCTTTGCTTACCATCTCAGTGAACAGAAATCTTGAAGTCATACCTGATATTGATGTTTTACTTTACTTTCTAAATAGGTGGAGGTGACACAGCGACGTGTTGCGCCAAGTGGGGAACTGAAGACAAAGTCTCTCATGTCTCCACCGGTGGTGGCGCATCCCTTGAACTGCTTGAGGGTAAGTAACAATATTTTTTTACTACTATTTGCTTCCTGATTTGGCGTCCATGATGGTAAGCAGACATAAGTAAATACAGAACTGACCATGTAGAGTACTATTTAATTATCTACGCCATGTCGTTTCATTCTTGTTGCAATTTTGAACTTTATTATTAGAAATAATAGATTGCAAATCGCCCATTATTTGTTTCTTTGATGATTCACCCATATATCCCCAAGCGGTCACCGGTGACCGCTCTCCACTAACTACATTATAGACCTTATTTCCAATGTTGAGAGACTACTTTTGTATGAACAAATTTAGGGGATGATTTTCAACAATTTTCAACAGGTATAATTTGAAATTTCTTAAAATTTACTATTTAGTGAAGATATCTGAAGAAAGAAGATAATACACAATGTTTTAATTTCTTATTGCTTTAACATTGAGTAATAATAAGTTGTAATTTAATAGTGTAGATTATGTAGACAAACATACACACATTGTAAATCGTTTCTTCATTTGGAGTAGTGTATTTACACTAACGGTAAAATGGGGTGGATAGGGATCGAGAGGTGAATAGGGACAGAAGAGGGGTGAATCGATACTATGAACAATTTCCCAACATCTATTCACCCCTCTTCTGTCTCTATTCACCTCTCGATCCCTATCCACCCCATTTTACGGTACATTTGTTACGTTACATTTGTAACGTAGTAACAAAAGCCGTAATTCCAAATTCATTCATTCGTAATTCCAATATTTCTTTTTTTCTCAGGTAAAGTGTTGCCAGGAGTAGCAGCGCTGTCTGACGCATAGACAATAAAGAGCAAAGAGTGTTTACACCTATTTGCTTCCTAGAAATGTTTGAAATTATATCCTATTTGATAGAGCGAAAAGTCAAGAAATTATGTTTTGTAAGTGATATGTATGTATACTGTATAGTACTTTATTTTTAAGTTTAATGAGAAAAGTGTCATGTGTATCGAATAGTGCAATAATTTATTATCGTAATAAATGAAATGAAATTGTTGATTATAATTATTGCATTTATTTTTTCAGTAAAGCGTACCCACCTATGGCGAGATACGCAAAGTATGAAGCCATTGTTTTATGTTAATCTGTTGATTAGGTAAATGTTCTACAGCTTCAGACAAATTCCATCCATTCCATTTCAAAATAAAAAACCGTACAAAATTTTGTTCAGTAGTTAACTAGTTTAATTAGCTGTTTATTTCCGCTAAGACATACATACCAGTGTTAGGATAACTTTACATTTCAATTGTCTTCCGAAGGTTATCCCTTCATCTTATCAACCACGAGATGTCTAGTCCTGAACATAATTTCATAAGAAAGCGGAAAGAATTGTTTAAGAAAAAAGCGGCCGAGATAGTTATTTAACACTAAATAGCTAGACATTGTACATACGAGTACCCATATGACCACAGTACCTAAGCGACTATCAAAAGACACATTTATCCCACAAAATATAAACCAGCCTTATTGAATTCCTCGATAAACGATGAACTAAATTATAAACGTTCCGTAATTCAATAATAAAGCTATAAAGCTGATGTTGTGGAGAATAAACATGGCGCTGGCATCGCATAAAGGAATATCCTACCCATATTCCCTTTAAAACGTTTAGTAATTCACTTACGAAGCGGCAATGTACGGTATATTGAGTTTTATTTGCATAGTCAGCTTAATGTATCGTGTATAGTAAATGTTGAAACTTGAAATACGTAGAATGTTAAACGTTTATTTGTTGAGGCCAACAGACGGGGTATTAGACTTTTGATTCTTGAAACTTCTGTAGATAATTCAGTTATACAGATTAAGCTATCTAAAGCCATTGCGAGAAGTTATCATATTAGTAACTTATTATTTACCAATCTAGGTACACAGGTCTCCTTTTTTTGAGGGGAGAAAACCATTCAATGACTTCTCTCCCACTTTGGGTGAGGAAGTGTCAGACTCTTACTGTCCAAAAACCATGCCGCGCCACGTAGGAACGCCTTCTGCTTTTCGAGCCGGAGCCCTGGCAACCCGTTAAGTCCTCCGCGGACACACGCCTCCCTGGGGATGTGCCGTAACAGGCGTTGCACAATGACAGTTCCGTCCGAGGTGTACTGTGGGGACCCGATGTTTCTTATTTGTACTGGTGGTGGCTACCAGGAAGGTTTTAGTAAGGTAAGAATCTCACACTCCCTAGTCGTTTTTCCCAAAATGCTAGTCACCTTTGAAGGTCTACCTTAGGTCTATCTGTAATAGGTACTTTGCTTAGAAACGTCTCTCTCCTAAAAACCTATTATTGTACTACTTCACACATAGCCAGCAATCAGTGAAAGATATAACATAAAAGTCTTGAAACCCCAAAGTAAACTCAATCAAAAGAAAACTTGTCAGTGCGTGACGGACATGTAACGCCCGATCACTGGGTTCCGTCGCTCAAATTATTGGTTTTCTGCCTTGATCATCCACTTCCGACTTTGTGGCTTTATGTTAAGGTTTAATTTCATACAAGGATGTGACGATTTGTAGCGTTTTGTAGCTGATCAATATCTGTTACCTACCCAAAAATGTTTGATCTGCTATAAACGTTCGTGACCATGACCATAACACTAAAAATCAGCCAGTTAGTCTTTGGTTGTGCATTTTTGTTTGATAGGTATGTTATCTATGAATACTATCATATACTTACCTAAACCGTTAGTTCTTTATAATTTAAAAAACTATAATCCATCGGTTTAGAAGATTACCACAACTTTTATATGAAAATACCGACTATAGTGACCTTTCCGACCTTGCACGTGTACAGTTCGTCGATTGTTCAAGATAATTTATCCCAAACATGTTTTAATATCGTCGAGACAGTGCAAAGAGCAACAACGGACGTAGCCCAACATACGAACAATAGACTAAACTTGATTAAAGTAGCCAATTGCAAGACAAGAAAGGCCACTTACACGCGCCATTGAAAGATGAAAACATGTTTCGGCCCGTCCGTACAAATGTTTGTGACTAATTTTCTTAATGTTTGAAAAACTTTTACCTAAAATAGTCTTTCGTCTAAGAGACGCTAGTCACTTATCAGGCTAGGTTTGGTTTGTTTAAAATAGCTAAGTATTCCGAAAGTTTTTACTCGCATGCTGCGTTAAATTAATAGTCTTAGTCAAGGACGTTGAATAAAAGGGGGACACAGTCTCTTGAAACAACGACTGTGGCACCAGGCTATTATACAGTTACACGCAGAACATAAACACATTGACACTAAGGACATCTGACATTTTCTTAAGTCTGGTATCGTGGTAACCCATGCCCGATAGGGCTGACGCCGATACGGAGTCGCGGAGAACCTAACCTAACCTTACCGGGGCTCCGGCTCGAAGTGCAGGAATAGGAACGGGGTGGTTTTTAGTCAGTAAGAGTCTGACACTCCCTCCCGCCTCACCCAGGCGGATCCACCAGACCCAGCAGGCATACGATGATTTTCCCCCCTTAAAAAAACCGTGGTAACCCATTGCATATGAATACATAAAAAACACACACACAAAAAAAACGGTACAACGTCCTTGGTCTTAGACTTTAATTCCTCAAGAATTTAGATATGAGAGTAGCCCAGGATTTTCATAGAATACCTCATCTTACTATAATATTATAAATGCTAAAGTTTGTGTGTTTGTTTGTATGTTTCTTACTCAATACGTCAAAACGGCTGAAGGGATCAAGATAGAATTTGGAACAGGAGTAGATAATTGGTCTGGAATAATATATAGATACTTTTTATCCCACGGTAACGCGGGCGAAGCCACGGCCAGATTCTAGTAAGTTCATATAAAGAAAAATGGAAACAAATAATTTAATAGGTACTTCCCTTAGATATAAATAGGTAGTTACGGTCCTACATTAAAGTGCTATAGAAAAAATATATGAGACGTAACTTAAATCAATTAGGGCCAAATTGCTTCTACGGAATCCCCATAGTATTTTTAGATGGTTGTAATGTAGATAACATTGAAACGAGGTTAAGAACCTTTTTGTGAAAGCCAAATTATACGTAGAATACTTTTTCTTATCGGCTGCCTCATTGGTTAATAAGCACAAGTGCGGTTATCAAAACCGAAGCCACGGTAATAACCGTGACGAAGCTTTTCGGATTTCTAGTAGGTATTATCATAAAGTGTGAGTCTTTCTAGGACAAGCCCGCCACAACCTCCCAATACCGCTGCAACTCCTGTAAGCCAGAATCTACAGTAGATACAACCAATAAACACCGGAACACTGAAGTCCGGCGCGTCCCACGGACATAAATAACTGTCTTGGTTCCTGTAACGAAGTGAATCAGAAGATATTAATAGAGAAGAAAAACCGATAGTTTCCACTTCCCTCGGTGAATTGAAGTGTGAGTGTGAACCTATTGCACACTGTGACTAGAGAATCGCCCTATCCTACCATATTGTTAGACTTGGTTTTCTTGCCGTGCCGCCAAACGACCAGACAGATCATCCTACTTCCTCCTAGACTACCTCCGGTCTCCGGGAACCTAAATCACACGACGAAACACGATACTAGCATCTCGCGCGCCTCTCGTAGGTACACACGGTTAAACGCGCGTTCTCGTACACACGGGTAAATATTTTAATAGAAAAGCGAATTAACTATTCTGTTCAATCAAATAAAGAACGGGTTGAAAACTTGAAAATATTCGTCACAGAAAAAATATCCAATCGGTGCGCGTTTCCCGTACACCCGTGTCTACAATTGCGCGATGGGCACTCAACTCTCTCGTACACCCGTGTGTACGAGGAACACGCGAGAGTCTAGTATTGTTTCACGACGTTTTTCTGTGAAGCAGTGGTCACACTCAGGTCGAGCCGACCTATCCGTGCCGAAGCATTGATTTTCCATATTGGTAGTGTTGGTAGGACTCATAAGTACTCATATCCGTAACATGACGTGCGAAAAGCGGCTGTTAATTTAATGTGTGTTTTAAAAGCTCTAAAGATAAACCAAACAATAATTAAACTTTAGTATTACCTAGGTACGTCAAAAATTCATCAAAGTTTTCGTCAAAAATAGAGAAAGTAATATTGAAGTCCCGTTCCTTGGGGATAGAGGTTGAGAGAATTGCGGTGCCGTATTTCTCTAGGGTGCCATAAAATTACAAAATTTTAATTCTGAGCTGTAGTAGGTAAGAACCTTTAATACTTATTCGTAAAACCAAAGGTAGTTTACTACATGAAAAACATAACTTCACGACCTCATAGGTCATAAATTTTTTCAGCAGTTAAGAGTCGCTTAAAATAGCGGATGAGAATCATGGAACTCCGGAAACAATTCCAGACTCTGTGCACTACATACTAAGATTTTTTTGCAAAATCGTAAACTTAAATAATGATTTTTGTCGACCCGGAAATCCGACCCGAGACCCTTTGCCCGACGACAGGTATTTGTGACCACTGACCCCTCGACCAACGAGGCAAATAGATACTTATCACATATCATGGCTTATTCTAATACCTACCTACTGCTTATAAAATAATGAAATATTCATGTTTAATTAACAGGAAATCAACAAAGGACGTGTATTAATTAGAATGAGGAAACACAACCTTCCACAATATTTTAGGATTAACCAGAATTTTCTGACTTCATTACTGTGATGGGATGAACTTAATGTATTTCAACAAAAGCGAGCCATTTCTTCCAAACCATTACCCGACGCCATTAGCGTTCTTTATTCACTATTCAAATATTAATTTGGATTAATACTACCCTTTTTGCTTCCTGGAGTCAACTTTATTTTACACTACGAA